GAGGGAGGAAGGGAAGGAAGGGGGAGGGAGAGGGAGGAAGGGAAGGGAGGGGGAGGGAGAGGGAGGAAGGGAAGGGAGGGGGAGGGAGAGGGAGGAAGGGAAGGGAGGGGGAGGGAGAGGGAGGAAGGGAAGGAAGGGGGAGGGAGAGGGAGGAAGGGAAGGGAGGGGGAGGGAGAGGGAGGAAGGGAAGGGAGGGGGAGGGAGAGGGAGGAAGGGAAGGAAGGGGGAGGGAGAGGGAGGAAGGGAAGGGAGGGGGAAGAGAAGGGAGGAAGGGAAGGAAGGGGGAGGGAGGAAGGGAAGGAAGGGGGAGGGAGAGGGAGGAAGGGGGAGGGAGAGTTAGGAAAGGAAGGAAGGGGGAGGGAGGAAGGGAAGGAAGGGGGAGGGAAAGGGAGGAAGGGAAGGAAGGGGGAGGGAGAGGGAGAGGGAGGGAGAGGGAGGAAGGGAAGGAAGGGGGAGGGAGAGGGAGGAAGTAGATAAGGAAGGGGGAGGGGAAGGGAGGAAGGGAAGGAAGGGGGAGGGAGAGGGAGAGGGAGGGAGAGGAAGAGGGAGGGAGAGGGAGGAAGGAAAGGAAGGGGGAGGGAGAGGGAGGAAGGGAGGAAGGGGGAGGGAAAGGGAGGAAGGGAAGGGAGGGGGAGGGAGAGGGAGGAAGGGAAGGAAGGGGGAGGGAGAGGGAGGAAGGGGGAAGGAGAGGGAGGAAGGGAGGAAGGGGGAGGGAGAGGGAGGAAGGGAGGAAGGGGGAGGGAGAGGGAGGAAGTAGATAAGGAAGGGGGAGGAGAAGGAAGGAAAGGAAGGAAGGGGGAGAAATAGGGAGGAAGGGAGGAAGGGGGAGGGAGAGGGAGAAATAGGGAGGAAGGGAGGAAGGGAAGGAAGGGGGAGGGAGAGGGAGAAATAGGGAAGAAGGGAGGAAGGGAAGGAAGGGGGAGGGAGAGGGAGAAGGGAGGAAGGGAGGATGGGAAGGAAGGGGAAGCAAATTTGGGTGATGCATGATACATGTTATATCATAACACGTCATATTTCTGATATATTTTCAACAAAGAGATATATTCAGTTTACCTGCACGAAGATTAAGGATCATATCCCCATGTGTGTGGGTGTGCTTATGTGTATGTTTCGCTGTATATGCGTGTTTGTCTGTAAGTTTGTTATTTAATATCTCCATTAATATGATCATCACCGTTATCATCAAACTAAAATAATGATAAACAACCGTTATCATTACTACATTTATATACCGTCCATGTCATTCATTAGAACGAGTCCAGCAATTCACCCCCAAAATAAACTAATCTTTAAAATTAATCTTGAATATGAATCTTTAAAATAAGACATTCTGAAAACTGCAGTTATAATAATTACCCTCAGAAAATCTCCTTGATTACGTGTGATTTGGTAAATGAGGTATAATCTGCACAGCTGATGCAACACTCCCCTCAGGCCCTCGCTCATAGTTGATGACGTCACGCGCTGGAGGAACTTCTCGCACACGAAATACCTTATGTGGGCCTGTTTACGAAAAGGGGAGAGAGGGAAACGGGGAATAAAATAATAAATAAAAGGGGGGTGATAAATTGTATGGGGAAATATAAAACGAAGAGAGAGAGAGAAAGAGAGAGAGAGAGAGAGAGAGAGAGAGAGAGAGAGAGAGAGAGAGAGAGAGAGAGAGAGAGAGAGAGAGAGAGAGAGAGAGAGAGAGAGACAGAGACAGAGAGAGAGACAGACAGACAGACAGACAGACAGGCAGACAGACAGAGAGAGATAGAGGGAGAGGGAGAGGGAGAGGGAGAGGGAGAGACAGAGACAGAGGCAGAAGCAGAGAAACAGAGACAAACAGACAGACAGAGAAAGACCGAGGCAGGGAGACAGAGACAGTAAGAGATACAAGGAGAAAATAAGCTAAAAAAAAAAAGAAAGAAAGAAAGAAAACAGAAGAGAGAGAGGGAGACGAAGAAGTAAGAAAAAGAGGAGGATATAATATATGGGAAAAAGAAAATGAAGATGACTGGTGTCTTTCCAAAAGGAAAAGAGGAGAAAGGATAAGTAAGAGAAAGAAAACAAAGGAACTAAGTGAAATGAAGAGAAAGAAAGAAAGAAAGAACCAGAGAGACAAACAGACAGAGACAGAAATAGACTAAAGGAACAAAAAATACCCGAGAAAAAAACACACACACACACAAACAAATAAACAAGAAAGAAAGAAAAAAAAATTAACAGACCCATACCTGAGCACACCTGACTAGCAAAACCGAACAATTATTCCAAGCGTGATGGAAGCTCTGACCCATATCACACAACTTCTGCAGTCTGCTCTCTGTGTCTGCCACTAGCTTCAAGGCAGACATCTTGTAGGCTTCGACCAAGGCTGGAGAGAGAAGGTCGAATAAGCAGAATAGAAGAAAAAAAACGAATTAAGTAAAGTCTCCCCAAAAAATCTTTTGAGAAATGAGTAAGTACAAGGATTTTGTAAAGTTAGCTCGTAAGGCAATACTTTAAACTACATATA